AAGGTTTTCTCCACCTTTTGAGTAATCTTTACCAGTCTTTACCTTTGAAGAAACAAAGATTCTACATCACAACAAAATAGTTCCCTACGCTTCATATTGTCATCATCATGTCTTTGATTACTTAAGAGAACCTAGTCTCATCACCAACGAGCCAAGGCTTTTTTTGCAATCATATTACCACCTGTATTTACTTTTGAATTCTTTTACTGTCACTTTGGCTAAATAACCAAATATCGTTTCACAGTGACCTGGGATCCCATTTAGTCAAATGTCCAAATCGTTAGAGATTTTTGACAAGTTTGCTTTCCCCAAATCAAATCCTAAATGAAGCCTTCCTGACCTTGAGCTGACTTTGGAATTTCCCAGAGGGCCCCTGGAAGACCTCAAAATTATGGTTCACCTTTTGTAAGTTATATTTCTATGAGTAAATAATATTAACATAAGGATGTTAGAAATTTATACAAAGTTCCTACAGACTTGCCAGTGCCCTCAGCGTCCATGAGATGAGATGTCCCTGTGTAATGTTATAGGTCATAATTTCAATTACTGAAAACGTTGACTATCACAAAAACAACGAAACTTCCCTGTCAGTTGGGTTATTTTTATAATGAACTCTCGTCAGATTTTTAACCATGGCCATTTAAGGTCTTTCTTTAGTCACCCACAGAATTTTTGTTTCATTCTGATTCTCCTAGGAAAGCATTTGCAATCAGGCCAGAGTATTTCACTTTAACAAAAAAGGGGCTGTTTCTGAGACCTGTGGAAAGGACTCTGTACTCTGGGGTATGGGCTTCGGCCAGCACTGCTTCGGTCACTTGCAGACCATGCCGCCGGAGTGAGTAAGGCTTTCCAGAACTCATGGGCTTGGGAAAACTGCTAATTTGAGACCAAGCAGAACAGGAATTAACCACACAAGACAAAACTGAAGCATCCGTCTTTTCCTGCCTGCCTGATCCCTTTCCAAATCAGAGACTGTTACTAAATATTCTTATTCTCTTGGCAATAGAGTTATTTGCTTAGGTTCACTGAGAATCTGTCCTCCTTGTGATAGGTCATAATTTGTGAAATGCTACTTATATTTACCAAGGCATGTCATATTTCAAAATGACGCAGGGAGTCAAAGAAAACAAAACAGTTTAAGGAATTGCAGTTGACTTTATGGACTCGTGCTTACAAACACCCCCTTGAAAACATTGGCATGATACATGGCTTACAGAGCTCCCAGCCTTAGAGGTGAGTAAGGAAGGTCACTTCCAGGCAGGCCCAGGAACCCTAGGGTATTTTGGGGACCTTGAAAAGAGAGGAATTTACCCAAATCTACAGATGAAGTCTGACAGCAAGTTCTCTGTTTGGCTTCCTTTTAAAAGGCCAATCTGAGATTCCCTATAAAAAGTTCCACAAAGCAAACTTTAAAAACGCCTATGTGGTCAATTTCCATTCTTGCCGCACTTAACGAAAATCAGGCCAAATTTAGTAACATTGAAATTCTTTCATAAAGATTATCTTACTTTGATGATTTTTTTTTTATCAAAAAGGGATGTGACTGTAGAGAGAAATTTTATCTCAACAGAGAAAAATACACCCTTGTGGATTATCAAATTCTAATCTATTCATTGTCTTTGAGGTTTTATTATCTACCTGTGAACCTGACAGGAACCTGCCGCCTGACACATTTTGTTGGCCTCACCAAATCCTTGGTTTTAAGAGTTTCCTTCAATATCTGCTAGTTTCCAATTTCCCTCCCTCCTGACTTGGCATCACTGACGGCGAAAACCTTGCTGCCCAGACCCTGGGAGCTACGTTGTTTGGTAGCTGCTCCTTTTCTCCAGGACCTGAAAAAGCCCCCTACACTGAAGCCGGACCACCTGAGATAAAATTCAAAGATCTCAGCACCACAACGAGCCATGCACGGCCCAGCGGGTGGGGCGCTGCGGCTGTGTGGGCCACTCTGGAGACCCACAGGAATGCTCACATCTTCCGCGCTCCGCCCTGGGAACTGACCTCGGCTGTGACACTGATGCGTGCGCCATCGCTACACTTGAGAGACCAGCAGCTGGGAAATCCACCAGGTGGCCCCCGCCGTTCTCCCTCCACTATCGAAGTCTAACCTCTTCCCAACTGTCCACCCTTGGGACTCAAGAACAGGTTTACAGTCACTCCAAACATTCATCTTTGCTTTTCTTTGTCTCCATAGAGATGCCCCCCATTAACTGCCTGATAGCTGGCACCACGCAGCAAATATCCTCAACTGCCAAGTCCCAACAGATGGTTCAAGCTGGCCCTTAACGAACAAGAGCCGATCAAGTGGAAAATGGACTTAGATTTTTCAGGGGAGAGAAGAATGTCTCTTCTTTCCTTCAACGAGACAGGGACCTGACAGACTCTCCGTGGCCAAACTCGAGCCAGGATCCTCTGAGCCGCCTTGCGAGGCCCCAGCACTGGCCTCATAAAGCCTTGAGCAAACACTGACCTAGCGTCTCACAGCTCAAGGCTGCACCTCTGCGATGCTAGGAGGACCCTGGCATCCCTGCGGTGCCTGCCTGGGAAAGCTCGAGGCTGTCCAAGGAGTGTGTCTCGGCAGCACCTGAGGACGGGGCGCAGCTCCCAGCCCCTGTGGTGGGGGGGAGCCTGACTTCCTCGACCCCGGGGTGGGAGGTGCTGGGGGGAAGCGTCACCTGAACCTCTTCCCACCTTTTGTACTTTCTCGCTTCCCAGATTCTCTCAAGTTGCAGCCCTGACCCCTCCTCCTCCCCCATTTAAGAAGCCCTGGGCCTTAAGCAAATCTAAGAAAATCGGAATGGAACTCACCACTTTCCCCTAGTGCCCAAAATTGATGAGCGACACCTGACCTTATGGCTTCAACAAGTGCCTGGCTGTGTCACCTCTTTCCTTGCTGGGCCCAGACACCCCCTGGCAGCACCTCCAGGGGCTGGGAAGCAGCAGGCACTCCGCAAAGCTCAGGCACAGGCACAGGACACCAAGGCCCCTGGCAGATGGAAAGACTGAAAAGCTGGGGGCGGGTCAGGGCTCGGGCGCCTTCCCCGGCTCCCCATGTCACATGGGTGTGAGGCCACAGGGTCCGGCCTCCGGTGAACCCCTTCCTGGGGGCAGCCACTCCCCTGAAAAGAGGGGGGGCAGTACCCCACGGCCTCCAAGAGGGAACCCACTAGGGAGATCCCCGAGCCCCACGTCCCGGGCCTCCACAGTTATCAGGCTCCCAAGAGTCTGATTGCAGCCCAGAGACCGAGTGCGACCTTCCTACGGTGGGTCAGGGCCTGGCTCTGCAGACCCGGCCGCAGCCCGCCCCGCGACACGGCCCCCCCCACGGGGTCCGGGTCTCCACCTCGGTCTGGAACCCTACCTCCCGTGGGATGTTCCCCTCCACACAGCTCCCCCACTTCCTCAGCCCGGTCTGGTGCCCACCTCCTGTCCGGAGACCCCCACCCAAGGTCGGGTCCTCGCGGCCCGGTCCCAAGTCCCCACCCCGCCCCCCGAGCTCCCCGCCCCCGCGCGGACCCCCAGGCGCCCCAGCCCCTGAGAGTCTCCAGCACAGGTCTGCAGGCTCCCCACGCACCCCCGGGGCCGGCGGCCCGCCCCGCTTCTCGGTCCGAGGGCCCCTGCCCGGCGGGCCCCATCCCGGACCCGCGCACCCGTCGCGGCCCCGCTCCTGGCCGCCGCCCCCCGGGCCGCCCGCGCCCGCGCACTCACCTCGGCCCCGCGGGGCGCCCCGGGCCCGCGCAGGCAGCGCCGCGGGCAGCCCCGGTGCGCAGAGGCCCCGGTGCGCAGAGGCCCCGCGCGGCGCGGGCGGCGGCGGCGATGGCGGCGGCGCTGCGGAGCCCCGGCGCGCGCTTCCGCTGGCGGGCGCGGGCGCTGTGGGGCGGGGCGCGCGGCGCGGCAGGTAGGCGGCCCGGAGGGCGGCGGCGCGGGCACGGTCGGGGCGGGACGGGGTCCGTCGGCCGCCGGCCACCCTCAGCCCCGCTTCCGCGTGGGGAGGCGGCCGGGGCCGGGGGGCGCTGCCGGAGGCCTGCCGCGGAGTGACCCGCGCCCGCTGCCCCGCAAGCCAGCGTCAAACAGTCCTGACGGCGGAGATGCCCCAGCTCACCAGGGGCTGGCCCTGCGCACCCCACTGGCCAGGCCCGGCCGCCGCCTCCGCGAGGCCCTAGCGGCCACACACAGGGGTGCTCGGGGCCTCTGCCGTCCGCACACGGCGGGCATGGTGCCCGCCGCGCTGTGCCAGTGCCCCGAGGAAGGAGGACGGTGCCCGAACCAGCACGGTCATCATAAGCTCCGGGGGTGCCGCCAGGGTGCACAGTGTACAGCCGCAGCCTTGGGGAGCCCAGGGTTCCGGTGGCCCTGCAGAGTACCGGGAGGTGGAGGGTTGGGGCCGCTCCAGGGTGGCTTTGCTGACCCCTGGGACCTGACCAGGGCACCCATCTTTCAAAGCCACTTTGTGCATGTGTCGGGTGGGACATTCATGAGGATTAAGAGCACAGGGCAGTGGAGCCTTCACTCCAACGGGCGCTAGCCACAGGTCCCTAAACAGGAGCACCGCTGGGGTCACAAGCCCTGGGCCCTTCAGCTGCCCTCAAGGTGGCCTTGGGACAGGCCTTTCATTTCCTGATGGGCAGCCGGGAGGATTCTGGCCCCACGCCCTCTGGCAGCAAGGGGGAGGCAGCCCCCAGGGCTAGAGGCTGGCTGTGGCCTTGACCGCGGTTATGGGCTGGAGACAGTGCCTGCCCCCAGCAAGGGCGCCCAGGGCCGATTCTGAGCCTCCCCTCCGCCTCGGCAGCTTCCCCTCAGCAGGAAGGTGCCTGCCCTGTCCAGGGTGAGGAGTGGCCGGTGCAGCCCCTGAACAGGAGCCAGACTGACTGTGCTCCGCTGTCCCCTGTGCCCCTAATGACTGCTGCCAGGAGAGAGCGCACAGGGGGCCTTGCCTGCCCCCTCGGAGCACCGAGCCCTTCACTCAGCCTTGCCGTACTCACCCCGCTCTGCTCTTTGTTGGCCCTGGACCAGGCAGGCCTGGGGTTCAGAGGAGCGAAAGTTAAGGGACAGAGGGCTCAGAACACAGAGGAGAGAGACCTTTCAGGGACTGAGTCCTGAAGGCAGGGAGGGTGTGCCTGGCAGAAGTGGAGAAGGCGCCCAGGTTACCGGAGTTCACACTGTGCCCCAGGGAACCCCCTCTCCAGGTCTTTCCTCCCCCACAGGCTACCCCAAACCTCCCAGGATTTAAAGGTTGATGTGCTGCCGTCACAGAAGGCCCACAATTGGCCCCTTCCAGCGTCTGTCCCGCCAAGAGGGCTCCTGGGCGTGCACGGTGGGTGGGGAGAGCCAGTGGTCAAAGATAAACCCAGTGCGCTGGGCCGTACTCTCCCTGCCTCTGCCGATAGCACAGGGACACGCCCATACTGGGAGCAGGGGTGCCAGCGGGTCCCAGCTCTGGACAGGAAGGACCAGCCCCTGCAATGGAAGGTAGGGGCATTCTCCTGGGCAGTGATCTGGCCCCCTCCCTAAACCTGGCTGCAGGTGAGCAGAGAGAGTGGCTCCGCAGATACTCTTCAAAACCCAGCGGCAGTCCCCCTCCAGCCGTCAGTTGGTTCTAGTTTTCTGGGCTCTACCCAAGCCATCGGGACAGCTGACAACAGTTTAGGCCTCTCAGAGTCCCAAGCTGAATTTAGAATTGGGTCCACTTTGGACTGACTGCCTGAACCAAGTTATGGTTCCATCACATCAGGTCCCCTGCATGCCTATGCGTGCATCTCAGCTGCCCTTAAACGTCGCCTGCTCATCAGAAATTGGGGTGGGCCCAGCTGAGCATCTCCCTGGGACAGGCTGGCTGCAGGCCACCAGCCGAGCACCTGGGTGCACCTCCTGTGGCAGTTCCCCTGGCTTCCTCAGCTGCAGGCATGGGCTTCGTCCAGGCCCCAGCTCCTGTGTCCCTGCAGGAGTGCAGGCCCTGGGCCCAGTCTGTGGGCATCTACAGAGCCGGGGCCCTGGGGCCACAGGACTCGGGAAGTATTCTCCAAGCCTTGCTGCCAGGAAGGTTAGGTGGCCGCAGAGATGGACAGCCTTCTCATTGACAGGCCCCGAGCTCTGCTGCTGGTGTTGAGGGGGACGTGCAGGCCTTGGGTGGCAGACCCTGCTTTGATCAAGAGCACCTGTGCTTTGCCCTGGCAGCAGTCCGCACCCTCTCCCCATCCTCCGCCCAGACTGATAATTTTCTGTTACTTCGTCCTTCCTCAGCAGGGAGAGGGCCATGCCTGGTGCCGGGTGTCCTTGACCTGGACCCTGGGCTCTCGTAGGCTGGCCACACCGAAGGACACCGGGGCTCCTCACTGGCCCCTCCACCCCACTCCCTGCCTCACGGCCCCCCTTTGGGCTGTCTCTTGCTTGCCTTCTATGCCAGCAGTTTGCAGGCAGGAGAGAGATAATGCCCTCTGCATGGCCAGTGAGCCTCTGTGCCCGCGTGGAGTGAGGATGCACCCCAAGGCATTTCAGGGTCCCTCCATCTGGGGCCCTTGGGGAGGCCTGGCTGGGCTGCCTGATGTAGGCGCTGCTCTTTATTCCTCTTCACTTACAACAAAAGGTGACCATTGTAATGGAAAGACAGAAGGTCTCAAGAAAAATGTTTGAATCCTGTCTCAGAACGCTGGGTGAAGTTTGAGTCCAAAGCAGTCTCCCAGTTAGATGGCCTTCTTCCTGGCCTGGGTGTGTGGAGGGGGCGGTTTGCCAAGGCGATCGCACACCCGCGGCCAGCCTCATGCGGCATTGCTTAGTCTCTGGGATGTGACACGTACCTAGTCATTGTCACCTGCCAGATTTCTGATGCACTGTCACCCCAGACGCTCACAAGCTGGGGTCTCTCATCAGGTAAAGTAGATCCTGTCCCACATTTAAACGGACAGAGCTGCTCTCTCTTTGGGCATCGGGGGGCGCCTTTGGGCGTGTATGTACCAGGTTTGTCCCAGCCCTCCTCACCTCTCACTCTTTACCCAGCAGGCCAGCAGGACTATGATCTTCTGGTGATTGGCGGGGGATCCGGTGGCCTGGCCTGTGCCAAGGAAGGTAGGTGTCCTGTGTTTTGTGTCCCCACCAGCATAGCAGCTACTGCCCCCTGGAGAGGGCAGTCTGGTTCTCGAGGCTAGGTGGGGATGCACCCCGAGCAGCCAGGAGCAGAATGCACTGTCTCCGTAGATGGCCTGACAGCCTGCAACGCCCTGCCACCCCGCCATAGTCACTCCAGCAGTCTGGTCACTGGCTGGCTGCCCACGGGGCTCCAGTGTGCGGCTCCCGGGGCCTGCCCACTGGACACGCCTCCCAGCACACACACCCTTGCTTACTGTCTCCCCCCTGCAGCTCTGGCGCCCGGCCTCCTCGCTGTTTTGCAAACACTTCCCGCAGGTTTTGCTGGCCCCCCGGCCCTGGTTGCCCCGGGAGCTGTGTGGCTCACTCGCTTTCCTTCGGTCTTTGCTGCCTGGATGGCCCTACTTAGAATCGCACCCCCCGTGCATAGTCGGTCGTGTCACCAGCTCCGCTGTCCTTGTTCTGAGTCTGGCTCTTATGCTGCCTATGTCTCCCTTGCTTGGCCCAGCACTCAGCGCTGCTCAGGAAAAACGTGTTGAACGAACAGGCTGGACCCAGAGGCATCCAGACGCCAGGCTGTCATTTGCCGCCGATCTGGGTCATGGGCATGTGGCCAGGGTTTCATGGAGGGCTGCTCTGCCCATCTAAATGACAAAGAGGCAGATGTGGGCCAGGGTAGTGGAGGAGACGGGAGAGGAACGGGGCCCAGATTGAGAGGGAGTTGAGCAGGTCCCCTGGCCTGGAAACCATGGCTCTCTGACACGAGACACTGGGTTTTAGAATCACAGAGGGTGTGAAGGGAATTCTCTGCCCACTGCTCCTGCCCCAGGGAGCAGGGGAGCACGCTGGCGTGTGGTGGGGGGCAGGAGCCTGGGGAGCCTCCTGGCTCATTTGGGGGCCTACAGAGGGGCGTTAGGTGCTCACTCCTCTGGACACGGGCCACCCCAGGAAGCGGACTGCACGGACAGCTACTTGTCCCAGTGACACCCCTTATAGCAGAAGGAAGTGGCCTCCTGTCCATTCCAGCATCACACATCCAGAAACACGTCTCCCTTAACCTGTGACAGTTCCCAGTCTCTGTCTGGAGGCCAGCTGTCCCCCCTGTGGGTGGCGGTGCATTTCTGTACCTTTACCGAGGTATTTCAGGTGGACCACTTGTTCAGGTTTGACACACATGAGCCTGTGAAACCAGCACCCAGTCCGGCGGGACGGAGCCGCCAGGGTGCTGGCAAAGCTACCGCTGGGCGACTTCAACAGCAGGGATGTATTCCCCTTTCTGGGGCAGCGTCATTTCTCCTGAGGCCCCTGTCCTGGGCTCATAGAGGGCTGTGCTCTCCCTGTGACCTCGCGTGGTTGTCCGCCTGTGTGTGTCCTAATCTCCGCTTCCCATAGGGCACCAGTCACACTGGATCAGGGCCACCCTGATGACCTCCTCCTAACTTCATCACCTCTGTAAAGACCCTGCCTCCAGCTACGGTCACATTTGGAGGTTTTGGGTGTTAGAGCCTCAGCATGTGATTTTGAGGGGAGGCCCAATCAAGCTCACAGGTGCCCCTAAAGTGTCCGCAGACCTTAGACTCCCCTGCTGCCCCCTCCCTTCTGAGTACTCAGGCAGCCGATGACCCACTTTCTTCTACTAACAGAGCAGTTGGCATTTTCTACAATCGTTTGTAAATTGAATGTATTTGCATTGGAATATTGAAAGCTGTATGTGTTGTATTGAAATTGAAGCTATATGTATTCCTTCTGGCTTCTTGGATGTGACAGCATAGCTCATGTTGCTCTGCGTGCCCAGAGGTCCCCCTGTCATTACTGATCAGCGTCCCATCGCACGCATGCCCCGCACTGTGTCCTGTGGATGGGTGTGTGGGCTGTTCGCAGGTCTGGCTCTTTTGAACAGCGCTGCTGGGATCATTCGCCCACGTGTGTGAAGTGCTCTTGGTGAAGTGCTCGACAGTGGGGGAGCTAGAGCACGTTATAGCTGTTGTTTGGGCATTTTTTCATTTCTGGCAGCAATAATTTGTAGTTTTCAACGTACAGGTCTTTCACATCTATTAGATTTGCCCCAAGAGTTCTTATATTTTTATAGCAGCTTTATTAAGTGACACACCGTACAATTCAGTCATTTAAAGTGCTTAAATCCATGGTTTTTAGTATATTTACAGAGGGGTACAAACACGGCCACAGCCATCTGAGAACATTCTCATCACCTCCTAAAATACTCTGTCCCCGTTAGCAGTAACCCCCCACTCCCCACCCCTGGCATCCACGTGTCCACTTCCCATGTGTGGACTCGCCTCTTCTGGGCTCTTCCTGTGTCTGTGGGCACTTCATATAAATGGTCCTTTGTCATCGTGTCTTTCACTTAACATAATGCTTTCCGCCGTCTTCCATGGTGTAGCCTGTGCCAGGGCTTCATTCCTTTTTATGGCTGAAAATTATCCATTGTATGGACAGACCACATTTTGTTTATCCACCTGTCTATTGATGGACGTTTGGGTTCTTCCTGCTTTGGGGCTGTTAGGAATAATGCTGCTGTGAACAGCTGTGTACAGGTTTTTTTTTGTGGACATGTTTTCATTTCTCTCAGGTAGATATGTGAGAGTGGCACCGTGGGGTCACAGGTAACTCGGTGTTTAGCCTTTGGAGGAACTGCCAAACTGGTTTCCAAAGTGGCTGCACCAACCGATATTCCTACTAGCAGTGTGTGAGGGTTTGAGTGCCTCCACGTGCTCCCCGACACCTGTCACCTTTTCTGTTCTAGCCATCCGAAGGGGGCGCCAAGTGGTGCCTCATTGTGGTTGTTTGCGTTTCCCTAATGATTAATGACACAAGCAGCTTTTCCTGTGTTTACTGGCCATTTGGGTGTCTATGGAGAAACGTCTATTGAGAACCTTTGCTAATTTTTCAGTTGGGTTATCTTTGTATTATTGCATTGATTTGCATATATATTCTAGATACTAGACCCTTATCAGATACATCATTTACAACTACTGTCTCCCTTCCTGGCTTACTTCTTGCTGTCTTGATGGTGTCCTTCGCACCACAGATACTTTTAATGTTGATAAAGTCTGGGCCATCTGTTGTTTTTTTCTGTCGCTTATGCTTTTGGCGTTGTCTCTCAGAAACAGTTGCCTAAAAGGTCACAGAGATTGATGCCTGCCTATGTTTTCTCCTAAGAGTTTTACAGTTTCAGCTCTTATACATGGGTGTTTGGTCCATTTTGAGTTAATCCACAGATATGGTTGAGGTGGCTGGATTGTGGACATCTTTAACTCATCACAGTCTGCCCTCAAGGGACATTCTCTCACTTCAGGTGTCATGCAAAAACCTTATAAGACCACTTCTCCCCTCCAGGCCTTTATTCTGTGTTGTCATGCATTTTACTTTTACATGTGGTAAACCCCACAGCACATTGTTATTATTTTTATTTGAATGGTTACCTTCTGAAGAGATTCAAATAATAAGAAAAAAAATGTTACAGATGCGCGTAGTTTGTGTCCCGGCGCTCTTCGTTCGGCGGCCGAGCTCCATGGCTCCCCCGGCGCCCTCTGCCCCCTGCCCTCTGCCCTCAGGATGGCCGTGATCATTTCTTGCAGTGTGGCTCTCGGGTAATGACTTCTTTCAGGCTCGGTATGTCTGCAGACGTCTTTATTCTGTCTTTGTTTTTTTAAAGGCATTTTCTCTGGGTGTAGAATTCAAGGCAGACAGTTTTGTTCTCTTAGTAAACTCTGTCTTCTCACTCGCAGTGTTTCTGAGGACAAATCGCCTGCCATCTTTATCTTTGATCCTCTGTCCTGTGCCTGTTTTCTCCAGTCGCTTTTAGGATTTTCTCTTCTCACTGGTTTTGGCTGACTGATGGTGTGCCTCAGCGGAGCGTGAACCCCAAGTTCTCCGAGCTTCCTGGGTTTGGGGATTTATAGTTTTCATCAAGTTGCGAGCATTTGCAACCATCATTTCTTCACATGATTTCCCTGTCCTCCCCTCCCCCCTTCACTCTGGAGCCTTGAATCACCCACGGGTTCGGCTGCCCCGGGGGCGCCTCGCAGCGCGTTGGTGTTCTTTTCATTCTGAATGACTTCTATTCCTGCGTTCACAGTCACTAGTGAAAGAAAGACTGTGCGGTGTCTGATCCATGATTAATCACTCAGTATATGCTTCATCTCTTTATTGTAGTTTTTATCTCTACAAATTTGACTTGGGCCCTTTTTGTATATCTGCCGTGTTGCTCCTTAACTTTTGAACAAGTAGAATAAAGTCATAAAACCGGTTTTACTTTCTTTTCTGCTAATTCTGACATCTGTGTCAGTACTTGGCCAGTGTCCATCCACTGATTGTTTTTCTCTTTGTGGCTTCTTTTTATTTTCCTGCTTCTTTGCATGCCTGGTAATTGATTGAATGCCAGACACTTAGTACCTTAGCTTGGTGAGATGTGGATATTTCTATAGTCCTTGAAACATTTTTTAGCGTGTTCTGGGAGGCAGGTAAGAGGTAGTTTGATCCTTCTGGGTCTTCTCCTTAAGATTTGTCAGGCAGGTCTGGCCCTAGTCTAGGTTTAATCATTCTCAACTACAGGGGCCTGACTGTCCTTAATATTTAGCCAATGCCCAGGAATTTTGTGTTTTCTCCACCCCGTCTCTGGGGAACAGGCATTCCCAGCCCTGTGTGGGTGGTGTCCTCTCATCTTTCTGGACGGTTCTCTTTGGCCTCGGCTGGTCTCCTCCCACGCACGCACTGGCCGGATGTCTGGGGCTGTCCGGCAGCTCTCTCCTCTCCGGTCCTCTGTCCCAGGGCCTCTGGCCACCTCGGTCTCCCCAGACTCTGCGCCCCTGTCCTCAGCCAGGCTGCCGCGGGCCCTGCCCGGACCCCTGTGCCGTGTCCTGGGGACCCTCCAGTCCTGGGGCGCGCCTCGCTTGTCTCCCATCTTTTAGGAATTGTCCTCTGTTTCCTGATGTTCAGGTTCATGAAACTATAATTTCACATAGTTTGTCTGGATTTGGGGTAGTTTTGGGTGGGAGGGTAATTTGTCCCTGTTGTTCCGTCACGGTCAGACGTGGGAGTCAGACACTGGCACGTCTGAAGTGTCCCTTGGCCAGAGCTCTCAGACGGAGCACCGGGATCCCACTATTAGTTGATGGAGCAGAATAGGTTTTTTATATGAAGGCCTCTAACTCTTTGTTCTGACCTTGGTTTCCGACCGCTACGAATGCAGTATGTTCTGTAGTGCATCAAACACTCACCGGTTCATGACGTTTGAGTCGGGCAAAGCCTAGAGGCGGTCAAGTCTGCTGCGGGGCCCCGGGCAAGCCCGATGATCAGCCCTGGCTAGTTGGTGGCACGCTCAGCCTCAGAGCCTGGGACCTGGGACCCCAGGGGCCCTGCTGAGAGCAGTCGGGAGGCCTGGAGGCTTCGGCAGGACACATGGTTTGGGGTCCAAGTCTCACCTCCTCTCTGGGGACTGGCCCTGCCATTTGACCTCTGAGCTTCTGATTCCTCCCCCGAGAGTAAGGCAGTGGCCACCCGGCGCCTTCTGAGGAGGGTGACCTCGGGTGGAGGCCTCGCATGGGGTCTGGCGAGTAGGTCCTCCGGGAGGGCCTGGGAGGAGAGCCCGCGGGGGCCGCTGAGTCTGGGGCCTCCCCCAGGGAGCGGCTTCCCCCAGGATGCCTCCCCGGGCCCTTGTGCTGGGTGTCTGGGCCGCGAACCATGGGGTAGGAGACGAGGGAGGCTGGGCTCGGGGCTGCCGCCCCGCTGATCCCGCTGCGGCTGTGGGAGATGGTGCTGAGCCTGCGGCCCTAGAAGGGCGCCCGAGGGTCCCACCCGTGGGCAGTGCACTGGGTGGCAGCCCCCAGCCGGGACCCTCCCCACTCTCCGGTTCTCATGGGCCCTGGGGTCCCAGACCTGGCCCCGAAGCAGCCTCCGAGTTGTGCCCACCCGCCTGCTCCTCTTGTCGTAGCTGCTCAGCTGGGAAAGAAGGTGGCCGTCGTAGACTACGTGGAGCCTTCCCCCCGAGGTAGGCAGCCCCCGATGGAACCCCGTGTCCTGGGGAGGGGCTGCGGTGCACACACAGAAGGCAGAACCATTCAGCCCCGCTGTCCCATGTCTTGGGACGTATCCGGTTTCTCGTGTCCACTGCAAATTCGTGGGCAGGGTTCACTTGGGCTGCATTCTGAAGAGCAGAACAGGAGAGCCTCTGGACCCCCCTGAGTACACATGTAAATGTGCTCTCCCCCACGCGCCAGGGACCACGTGGGGCCTCGGCGGCACCTGTGTGAACGTCGGCTGCATCCCCAAGAAGCTGATGCACCAGGCAGCACTGCTGGGGACCATGATCCGAGACGCCCCCCACTATGGCTGGGAGTTGGCCCAGCCGACTCCACACAGCTGGTGAGGACGCCAGCCGCGCTGGGCGCCCTTCTGCTCACGGGGAGCTTTCTCACCCGTTGGCCGTCCCGGAGCCTGCTGTCAGACAGGTTCTCGCTGGGGGCCGCTCTGCCCTCCCCCAAGACAATTGGCAGAGTCTGGGGGCATTTTGGTCATCACTGCACCTGCTGGGGGGGGGGCCCTGGAACGCTGCTGCCTGTCCTGCAACTTGTAGGCCCCCCCACAAAGGGCAGCCCGGCCCCTGGGACCAGTAGCGTGGGGTGGCAGCTGCTCCTCGCACAGCCTGGACACAGGACTGCCACTGCCCCCTGATGGCCGAGGCCGCAGCCCCTGAGTCTGCGAGAGCCCCAGACCTGGGGCAGAGGCAGAGCCGTGCAGTGGGCGCTACGCTCCACCACCCTGAGAAGCACCTTGGTTCCTTGGTATCTCTGTTAACTCCCTGTCTGCATCTCACAGTGTGCTGAGGGCTCTACTGCTAACACTGCTCGTGTTTTTTCTACCATTGTGTTTGGTGTGTTAACAGGAGGAAGATGGCAGAGGCCGTTCAAAACCACGTGAAGTCCCTGAACTGGGGGCACCGGGTGCAGCTGCAGGACAGGTTCTCCTGACCTTCCCCGGGTTGTTTCAGGCCTTGACGGGCACTTACTCTTCAGAGGCTCAGACGAGGGGTCCATGCTCATGGGGTGGGGCGTGCCGACGAGGAGCAGATAGGCAGGTGCCCCGGGAGCAGAAGGCTGCCCTGGGGCCTGGAGCAGGGCTCACGCTGGCACAGCAGCCAGCGCCCGGGGCTGCACCAGGGAGGATGCAGGCTCGGGCCAGGGTGCTGGGGCGTGGGGAGGGCCAGCCCCATGGCCAGCCCCTTCCTCTCAGTGGGCAGCCTTTCTCCTGCTGGGACTGGAAGAAGCCCAGTGAGCCCCACGAAGCAGTGCAAAGAGGAGGCTCAGGCCTGGCTCTGGGAAGCCCACACCTCACCACTCATCTCCCTGCTCCCGCTTTGTGGACCCCACACCTCACCACAAGCATCCATCTCCTGGGCCTGGATGCAGGGGCCTGGCGTTGTCCACTGGAGCCAGTGTCCAACGTGATCTTTAACTGCCAGACCCTGTCAGCTCCTTGGGGTCCCCCAACCTAGATGCCGACCCTTCTCTCACTTCGACATCTGCCCTGAGATGTGGCGGCCAGGAGGAGAGCTGCTCCGAGCTGCACCTGACTAGGCTAAGCCTCATTCCTGGCCCTGTGGCTCTGCCCTGTGCCTGTGCAGCGTGTGGGGAGCACAGAGCCCCTTAGAGGCCTGGCGGCTCTCACCTTGGCCCCAAGGGGTCCTCCTGCAGCTGTGCGGTTGGTAGCTGGGTTGTGCCACTAAACCCTAGGAAGCTGAGCCAGGGAAACCGGCCCACCTGCCCAGCCTGGCTCCCCCAGTGGCCCCCGGGGAGCTGAGCCGCACGGTGTCGTTTCTCCTCCACCTGGTGCTGTATGTCCCCTGGTGCTCTTTGCTGGAGGCATAGGACTCTCTGCCCTCCCGCTGGCCCCAGGCAGCTTCTGGGCAGGCACCATACAGGCGGACCCCCGGCGGGCTCCAGAGACCCACAGAAGGGAGTGGTGCTATGCCATGTGCATGTTCCTCTGCAGCGACAGGGTGGTGTGGGTGATGAGACTTGCACGAGCTTCCTGCAGTTCAGGCGGCTCACGGAAGGACAGGGCTTGGCCATGGGGAGGAGGTGATGTCAGGGAGGCAGTGAAGTCGTGCAAAGCCACCAAGACCCCACCACTGCAGCATGGCCTTCGTACTTAGAGGGTGTGGGTCACTTCTGCATACCGTGCACCCAGCACCATTATGTCCTTGTTACACCTGTTCTCCCAATCTTTCCCCTGAAGGCAGGTGGTACCCATCTGGTGGGCAGCCCCCTTGCCAGCCGAAATGTGGCTGTTTGGGTAGCAGGTGTAACTGGGAGCCTCTGCTTCCTGGTGGAATGTGCCCAGCTGACCGGGACTGGCTCAGCCACCTGTCGTCACGCACCAGGATTGACGGGGGCTCTCGGGACTGTGCTGAGCTGGCTTCTGTCCCAGAGGTCACCGTGTCCCAGGGAGACCCTCGGGAGACAGCAAGCCGGCCCCCCCCCGGCGTGGTTCCCCAGTCACCACTTGCCCCACATAAGCCGTGGGCTGCGGGCCCCAGCTTGCCTTTGAGCATCTGCTCCCTATTTAATCCCATAGGTAACGCTTACTTTGTAGAGGGACTGTGTGAAAATCTTATTTCTACTCTGCAGAAAAGTCAAGTACTTTAACATCAAGGCCAGCTTTGTCAACAAGCACACAGTTCGTGGTGTCACAAAGGATGGGAAGGAGGTGAGTGACCCCTGCCCATGGTCCTGGCCCTTCTGAGGGCCTCGGGCCTCGGAGGCTTCGCTGCTCAGGGCTGCTCTCAGTAAAGAGCGCTGCTGGAATTGACAAGGCTGACTCCGCGAGGCTGTCACGTCCTTTATGAAGGACGCAATGACCGGGTGGGACTCGCGCGGCGCCAGACTGCCTGCTGATCAGGGCCACAGGCACGTAATCCCCCCTCACAGTGTCTTGCGGGAATCGGGAGGAGAGGAGACACCTGCATAGTGTTCTGTGCGCCGCGAGTGCCTGGAGTCAGTGTCCCCTCCTCTTCTCGTGTCCCCTCCTGTCCAGCAGATCCCTGATGGGCTCCCAGCCCCCAGGGGATCTCTGACCTGCTGCCTGGAGGTCCGACTGCAGGCAGGGGTTGTGATCAGAAATGTGGGCCTCTGCCAGGAGTGCCTGTGGGCATCCCAGCCCTTCCTGTGGGTGACTATGATGTACCTGTTTGACCACAGCTTTCTCACTTTATTTTCAGACTCTGCTTTCGGCTGAGCACATCGTCATTGCTACTGGAGGGCGGCCGAGGTACCCCATGCACGTGAGTGTCCCCAAAACACAGACTTCCCCATGCCCCAGGCTCATTCCAGGCTGCCAGGCCCACTGGTATGGGTTCATGCTCACACCTCCCATGCCAGCAGCCCATCGCACTCTCTTTTCCTTAAACAAAGGTTCTTTCAGTATTCACAGGTCTCTCTTTCTATTTTCTAATTCTGTCGACCCCATCCTGCTGAAGAAGGTCCCCAGGAACCCACACTGAGGAACCCTAAGGCAGTGTCACCCCCTCAGCTGGCCGGGGACCCCACCGCACCTACTGTCTGACTCAGCGTCTCCTTTGCCGGGTCCTCCTTTTCTCCTTGGCTTCCAACTGTGGTGGCATCGAGGGTCTCAGGGGTGACTCTGTGTTTGACCTTCTGAGGAGCCCCGGATCTTTCGTACAACACATAAAATGCACTCTTCTAAAGGGAGTTTGGGCTTCAGAGAGTCATCAGCCCCAGTGCAGCCATCAGCCCCCCACCGCAATCCCACCCTGCTCTCATCAGCATGGACCGAGCCTCGTGCCTGAAGCGTCTCTCCCAGCTCTGCTCTCAGCCCCTGGCCCCCAGTCGCCTGTCTTCTGTCCCTGTGGGTTGCCTGGTCTGGACATTTCATGTAAAAGGAGTCAGACAGTAGGTGACCTAGTCGCTGCTACCTGCATGTGGCATAATGTCTTCCAGTTCATCATGTTGTGGTCTGGGTCCAATCTCCATCCTTTTTTATGGGCAAGCAGCATTCCCTTGGCCGACAGACCCACTCGGTCTACCTGCCTGTCTGCTGATGGACATCTGAGCTGTTCCCACTTCAGCTGCTGTAATAAGGCTGCTGGGAACGTGCGAGTAGCTTTGGCTTCTCTGAGCCCTGTGCCTGGGAGCCGAGCTGCTGGTCCCAGGGGCACCTCTGTGTTTGACCTTCTGCGGAGCCCCAGGCTGTTGGCACCCCTCTACCTTCCCACCAGTAGTGGACGAAGGTCAGCCATTCTGGTCTTTTCATGTCTTGTCATTTTCTGGACATCAGAATCTCTCTCCACTGTGGGATTTTTACTGCTGTTTGGTTGGTAGGTTATTTTTCTGAACTGCTTCTGTGAAGTCTGTATTCTTTGTCGTGTGAGGCCTCTGATGTCTGCTCAGTGGCCTGGTGGCCGGGTGATGCAAGGGCAGTCTTCCTTCAACACCTGGAGCTGGGACATCTCCCCTTCCTGGCCAAGGGGCTCTGCAGGCATCTGGGAGGCACCTTCAGCGCTCAGCTGGGCAAGGGAATCTACCCCGGCCCTCCCTTCCCGCTCAAGGGCAGCTGGAGGCGAGTACCCGGGCATCGCAGGCCTCAGCCCGGTGCCTGTGCCTGGCCTTCCGGGTCCCCAGGAACATGCTGGGGCTTCTCAGAGCCCTGATGGGCATCTCATTCCTCAGCTTTTCCTCCTAAGCTTCTGGCTACTGTGTTGTCTGCTTCAGCTGTTGTCCATCCCTCCGGGCAGCCATGATGCACAGTCACTGGGCAAGTTGTCCCCAGGGAGAGGCTTTGGGCACCAGGCAAGTTCGAGCAAAGTGGAAGGCAGCCAGGCACCGAGCGGGGTCTCCAGGGCCTACAGCCAGCCCGGCAGCAGCCACCCTCTGGGAAGGAGCTGCGGCCCGGGCCCGGCCCTTCCGTCCGGTATAGCCGTTCTGTCAAGGCAACCACTGAGCTGGGGGATGAGCTAGACTGAGCCAAACTCTACAAAACTCATCATCATTTTTACCAAGTGTCAGCCATTTCTTGACTAAATATTCCATGTTCCCACAAGTCCTTAGTTAATTCCCAGAATTCTGAATAAGTTGAATCTGACTGTTTTTGCCAGTTTTTCGGCGGGGTGAATTTGGGAGATGCTCCCTCCACCATTTTCTCTGACGTCCCCTCCTGACCAGTCTTCCCCACGGGGGCCCCTCAACACTCACTCCCACCAGGACTGTGGAGCCGAGGAAGGACCCGGAGTCCGGGCAGGAGAGGGGGAACGAGAAGCAGGAAGGGGAAGCAGAGAGCTCTGATTCCTGCCGACCCGCAGGGCCCTGCGTCCTGAAGGGCTGTCGCCATGCGCATGAGGCCCCGGGCCCCAGGAGCCTGGGGGTCCTGCCTGCCTCCTGCTCTGCCCAGGAGCGAGGGTGCACAGAGGGCAGGGCGGTGGTGCTGTTTCTTCTCGGAAGCCTGAACTCCGAACCTCCGCTGTTCTGTGCTGTCTCTGGAGTTGGGGAGCAGAGGGAACGCAGAGGAAAACACGTACCTCCAGCCCTCAGGGGGCCACCGGCCTCCCCCCCGGACCTCCAGGGCAGCCTCTAGAGGGGACCAGAAGCTTGTGCCGGGGGTGGACTGCGGGCAGGTCGTGCAGCTCTGTAGGATAGCAGGGTGCGGTCGTTCACGATGGCTACAGCGGACAGGAGCAGAGTGGGTGACCACTGATGACCCCTCACCCAGCGTCCAGGCCCTCACGGGTTGATTTTGTGTGAAACCCCTGCAAGCCATGGTGGTCATTCCAGGCAGACCAACGCCGTGGCCCATGCCAGGGCAGCCTGCAGTGGGGACTGGCCCAGCCCACCATGCTGCACTTTGGCTGAGTGGCCGCGAGGCCTCCACTCACAGCGGGGGCGGGGTAAGCAGGGGCTGTCTGGTCCTGGGGGAGACCGCCCGCAAGCACTGTGCTCTCCCACCTCCCACCCCACCTGCCATGCCTCCCTGGGCACCTGCCAGGACTTGCTCGTGTTTTAGTCCCTTTGATTTTCTGACCTTTTAGTTTTCCTGGAGCAAACCTGAGAACGCCTGACTTTATTTTTCTTGCCAATTGGAGCCGTAAACTGTTTGCAGTCTGTTTCCTCTCCACCAGCACCTCTCTCCCCTGGGCCCCTGGGAGGGCGCCTGTCCCTGTGCCCCCCACCTGCTTGGCAGCTCCTCCTCGGTCCTGCTGGGGGCGGGGTGATTCGCACGCATGTGTCTCTTGAGGATGCCCAGTGGTGCCCAGCCTTCAGCCGGGTGCCCCTGGAGCTGCCAGCCCCTCCACGCCGGGTCTCACTCTGCTGTCCACGTTCCCCTCCCTCATCCTGTGTCTGGATCTAGGGGAGGGCCCTGGGGAGCAGGGGGGGAAGAGCCACTGGCTCTGCCCAGGCTCCTGGGCATCTCACCAGCCACAGAGTTTTCAGGGCCATGCTGGGCAGGTGGCGCGCCCAGTTAGAGGCAGCCAGCTCGCCTGTCCTGAGAGGCCACAGCCTGAAGAAGTCTGGGACAGGGAGCACACCCACCGGTGGGCTGGGGGCTCCGGCAGAGCCGTGTCCACGCACAAAAAGGGGCGTCCCCTTTGAAGAAGTCTCTGGACGGGTCAAATGATCCTCTTCTCATATCGATCCCCTTTTTCCTGGTAGGTTGAAGGTGCTTTGGAATATGGAATCACAAGTGACGACATCTTCTGGCTGAAGGAATCCCCTGGAAAAACGTAAGACCTGCCTTGTGCCCCCACAGCGTCCTCCTTGTGTTCATGGCTGCCCATGGTGGCCTCCTAGCGCCGTCTGTTGGCGCCCCCTCCCTTGTGCATCCTTTCCGGTCAGCATGACGGAAGGTGAGCACACCCAGTGCCTGTGCCCGTGGCTGACACGCTGCACCCATGACTGTCCCGGAAGCGATGGCACAGGTGTCTAAGGGAATCAGCTGTTGCCCAGGGCAGTGGTTTTCAAACTGTTCCTGGAGCCCCAGGGCCCCACAGGCCCCGGGGAGGGGAAGGGGGAAAGCCCTCAGCCCCTCCCCCAGGCACTCAAAGGCCCCTTGTCATCTGGTTTGCACCGTGGGCTTCCCTGAAATTCACCAAAGGCTGCAGAGGCCTCCGAAACCATAGCCCAGGGGTGGGGGCGAGAGCCCCAGCGTGAGTGGTTTCACACTTGCCGAGCAAGCGAGAAAGCTGAGTGCGCTCCTGCACCCACAGAATGGGCAGTTAGAGGGGTGCAGGCCAGACAGCTGCTGGCTGCAGGGGCCTCATCTTGCAGGGCCCAGGAGGGCCAGCAGAGGGCGACAAAAGCTTGCTCGTTGGCGGCGCCTGCCTGGCTTGGGACCGGCCTGTGAGAAAACTGCCCCGTGGTGGACAGGCGTGTGTGTGCAAGCATGTGTGCGTGGGAGCGTGTTTGCGAGCTTGTGTGTCCGTGCATATGTGCACATGTCATGTGCTCTGCTTGGTCATCATTGTTTATGACTTCATGAGGCACCTTTGTTCAGGGCTTGGGGCTTCCCTTGATTGGATGGGATGTAGTTTATCTTCCTACCATTCGGAAGCATCTCAGTATTTTCCCTTTTTCGTCCTTATGAAATGCTGCAATGAAAGCCTCTGGCGTGTATCTTACGTATCGTCATGATGCTTCTTACATGTCACAGACACTTGTCAGGCTGTTTCGTACAAGCAGAAGCCCAGGAGCAGGGGTAGGTGTCTTGCACCCCTACATACATTTTGCTGGTAGTCGCACCTGCCTGGTGAGCTGCACCCCATTGCAGGCACTTCCGCCTGCTCGCCCCTCTCCCCAGCTTGGGCATCAGCCTCCTCACAGGGCATCAAACGGAAAGGCGCCTCTGCTGGGTGCACAGGTGGGCACTGCAGGTTGCTTTTGCTGAGGCATGGCGGTCCCTTCCAGCTGCCGCGACTGAGCTCATGCACATTTTGGAGACATTCTGTCCACCGCCTTCCACTGGATCCCATGTCTTCTTACCTGGCAGTGTTTTTTCACGCGAGTCTTAGATTTCTTTGTTGCCATGTTTATCACTCTTTCCCTTTGTGCTGAAATTTTGGGGTCACTGTTCTTTTATCTTTGTCCGATAGGTTAAACAGACTGGGTCCTACTTAAACCTGCCATCTTTCCATGTATTTATTGGCCATCTAAAATCGAGTGTGTCTGTGAGTGTGTGAGTGTGTGTGAGCACACACGCGCGCCTGTGACTCATCAGCTTGGTCCTTTTTCATCTGTTTTTTCTTATCATTTTCTTATCTTCCAGCTGGCTTGCGTATTAGGCTGTGATCCCATGTCGTTGATGTTGGAGATTTTCTCAGCTTGTCATGTCATTTAACTTGTGCAATGTACAAACGGTTTTTTTCTTTTTTTTAATGTAACTTAGATCTCACTTTACACTTAATGGCTTTTAGATTTATTGCATGTTCAGGAAGGCCTGCCCCGCCCCCAGGACTGTTTCTGGAAAGAACCTCAGTGTTTTCCTTTAGGGCTCCGGCAGCGTGGGTTGTCCTTTGCATCCATAGTGTTTGCAAGTCATCTGTGGGGGGTGTGCAGCAAACCCGCTGCCAGGGTGCCCACATTGTAGCGGCCCAGCCCCTCGTGCCTGGCTGAAGGCGCTGTCCCCCTGCTGGCGGCCCCATCCTGCTCTTGACCGACTCACCTGTGCTGTGCTCACCTCTTCTCCGCCATCCTCCCACGTGGATTTCCCCGGGCCAAACAGAGGCACCCTTTGCCTGCGTCTCCTCAGAGGTCTGCTGGGCCGTGCGTCGCGGCGGTGCAGGGCTTCTGTCCTGACGCAGGTGCCCGTGTGCCCTGGTTGTCCAGGCCTATCGCCCAAGACTGGCATTTTCTCAGTCCTCCTGTTGGATTAGTTCCTGGGTGTTTATTGTTTTCTTTTTTTTCTATTGTCCTGTTTGGTCTTAAAAGCAGCACCTCCAGAAGGGTCGGCTCCTGCTGTTTCCTCCTCCACCCACTGCTCCTCAGAGACTGGGGGTGCGGAGAGGCGGGACCAGGCCGTCACCCAGGGCGGTGCTGGCTGGCAGCAGTGGGTGCCGGAGGCGCTCCGCGAGGTGGCCCAAGGTGCGGGCTCCTCTGTGTCCGTGTGCTGGGGCAGCCGCCTGCTTGGCCGGGAGGACACAGCCCCAGATATTTTGGTCAGGAAAGAAACTGTAGTGTTTATTTTCTTCAGAAAAAAACATTTAGAAGATTTTTTTTTTAAAAAAGCTCTTTCGTTTAGAAGGAATCTAGGTATGTTATTGTTTGAGAAAAAACGTGTTTGCAATGTATCAGTCACCCGTTTCATTCTGAGCATGATTTATGTGAGGAAATGGTTTTTTTAAAAAATTAAGCTGCATATATATCCCTGTACGATGCTTCTGTGAAAATGCGGCTTTTGTCCGGTGCTGTTAATGCAAGTTGTAACAGTGTGATATGGGAGTCAGTGTTTACATGTTACATTCCTCTGCTGCAGTCAAAATAAGCCCGGAGGGTCTACAGTAGCATTTCTGTATTTTATCAGCTTGGGCTGGGGCTGAGGGGGAGGCCTCTGCTCACACTTGGAGGGGCTGTTTCTGCCAGATTTATTTGCCTTATAAATATTCCCCATGTTTATTTTAACTCGCCTTTAAAATGGAGCTGAAATTAATATGGACCTGAGGGCTGCACTCCTGGCGCTGGAGTGCCTTCCTCAGCCGGGCAGAGGCGTCTGGCCTTGGCCCATCCGGTGGCCAGGGGTGCCCCGGGTGCCTGGTGCCCGCCTGCAGCCGTGCCATCTGCCCTGGCCAGCTTTCCTAGGCTGCCGCAGGCTTCAGGTGGGCACACCATGGACCCTGGGGGCGTCCCGCACCATGCCTGGGCAGTGACGGGCTGGGCAGTAGCCAGTGTGCCTGAGCAGGACAGCGACTGGTGGTTTCTCGTCTGGCTAGTGGAGTCCACAGTGGGGCCTGGGGCCTTCCAACTGCCCGTGGCCATTCCAGGCCACCTTTGCTCCCAGAAGTCACAGGGCCACAGAGGCACCCAGCCTCCCAGACTCGTGAGGAGCCTGTCTCCCTTGCTGGCATCCACCTCTGGGAGCTCAGGGCTGGGCAGGTGGCACACAGGGGTGACGAGGCCTTCGTGCAGCCTGTGGGAGAATCACACAGCACCAGCACCCTGCACCCGGCGACAGAGCACGTGCAGAGAGTCCAGCGAACGCAGCCTGAGTGCCCGAGTGCGTGAGCAGAGCCCCCTGAGGCCGGGGAGGGGAGGGGCTGACACCGTGGCTGCACAGACCTGGGGCCACACCCTCAATGTGGGCTGGGGCCCGGCCGGCACGTCCAAGGCCTGAGGTGGGGCCCTGTAGCCGGGCATCCCCTGGCCTTGGCCATGTCAACGCCAGCCACATGTCCAGCTTCTTTGCCCTTTCCATTAGTCTTGTTTCTTCACTTTTCTGTGGAAATTCAGGACAGGTTGAGGAAATGAGTTGGATTCTGGGGGAAGGACAGGATCCCCTGGGCAGGTAGCTGGAGCCGCTGTGGAAGGAATGGACAGGGGGATAATGGCCACTTCAGGAAATTGTCCAACACCAGTGGAAAACATGGGGCGCGCAGTCCCGCACAGGAAGGCCTAGAAACAGCATGCAGCCTGGCCAGGCGCAGCCCAGCGGCCGCTGGAAGGTGTATGTGGGAGGGGAGCAGCAGGCACACTCCACACAGCTCCCTTTGGGAGACGGGCGCCGGGGCATCAGGACCTAAGTGTGCCCACAGCCCGGTGGTCTTGGCTCGCTCACCACCAGGACCGCCTCTGCTGTGAGGCCTTCTGGCTCTGGACACCCTGGCTTGGAACCAGGCCAGGATCGATCGTCAGGTCCCCACCTCCTGCGGCGGTTCAGGTGCTTCGACCGTGGGGAGTCGAGGGCCCCTGCTCCAGACCCCGTCGGCTCCTTGGCCTGGCCAGCCTGTGCTGCCACCAAGGGTCAGCTCTCTGCGGAGCTGGGCTCTGAGCTGCCAGCTTCCTTGTGACTCAATGTCATCTCCTTTCTCTGACAGCAAAGAGGACTTGAATGAGACCAGAGCCACCCAGAGGCAGCTGTTGCCCCATGTTGGCCCTGTAGGCCACTGAATTGCCATTTCCAGATAGTTCCCAGGACTGCATTGTTCTCAGATGCCCACTTGGATAGCCTAGGCCCACTTGAAGTCTGCAGAGTGAGGGGCTCCCTCGCACAGCTGCCCGGCCCACTGGCCAGCCCAGACTGCCCACTCTGCCTTCCACCCCCCATATTCAGATCCAGGGCTCTGAAGCAGGAGTTTTTGTGATGCGGGCTGAGTTGGCATTGCCCATCAGAGCCAGCCCTGGAGAGAGCTTTTGTTTGACCCTTAGTACTAAGTCTGGAAGCTGAGCAGGCACCGTGATCCCTTTTCTCTCTCCCTAAGCCCAGGAGGGAAGCACACGCATTTTATTTGCAAAGAACCACAGTGGTTCAGTTAGGAAAATTCATTGCTGCTAATTTTCTCATTTTCTGCTTAACCTCCATGTTCATTTGGGGTGACACCTTGTGTCCCACAAAAGGGAGACCAGCCATCTGCCTGGGCCCTGGCTGCCAGCCCATAATGCCCTGCTGACTCACTCCCCAGGCTTCTGTATTTCACTGAGATGTGCAGAGCCCGGGAGCTGAGGGGGACCCCTCCTCTGGGTGGCATTAGGTGACCTGGCCAGATCCTCAGGTGCATCCATTATAGGATCAGAATGTAGAGGCTCCGGCAGGGCGGAGGGGGGCCCAGGCCCAGGCCCTGAAGGGTGGGATGGGGCTGGCAGGTCCCAGGCAAGCCCAGAGCCAGCCCCCACTGGGGGGGAGATCTTGGCACCCCTGCCCCCATGCTGCCTCCCTGGGGCGCCCGAGCTCAGCGGCCGATTTGACATTTATTGCGCTGGTGGGACTGCCAAGGGGCCAGGTTCCTGCTGCGAGGCCCTCACTTGGTGTAGGAGTGCCCCTTGGGGGATGAGCGAGGCCTTCAAACTTGAGGGGCAGGTAGACAGCTCTTTAAGCCTGGGCTTCGTGGGTCTGAATTAAGGCCTTTGTTTCTGCTTCCTCCCCGCATTCAGATTTTGAACAAGAAAGCCTGCCCTGTGATCAGGCTAATCCCACAGTAGCTTATAACTTCGCATAAGATGTTTGCACACCGAAGGGCAGAGAGGGAGCCGCCCAGAACACACGTGAAGTGGACCAGGGAGCAGGTGCTGGCTTCCCACATGGGCTAATGTCCTTGTCTCTGTTCCCGGCCCTCGGCAGCTCCCTCGGACCCTCCCAGGGCCAGCAGGCTACTCCCCCGGCTGCAGCTGGCACTGCACCTTGGCAGCCGGCCTCAGCCTCCATGTTCCCTGGCCCCCACCCAGGCCGAGGTCCCTTCCGTGGCCAGCAGAAGCTGGTCTGCACTCTCAGACCCGTCAAAAACACAAACGCATCCCCGCCCTCTGCTGTCCTCCACGCCTCGCCATCTGGAGGCTGCAGGTCTGTCTTGGGTTTTGTCCCAGCATTTTCTTGCTTTAGCCCCTTTGAAGTGAGTTGTCTGGTTGAGTTCTCAGGCCCTGGATTCTTCAAAAAATAATAATTACTTGACAGATTGTGGGCAGGGGTAGAGAGAAGACCAATGAAGCAAGAAGAACAATGACCCTAAGACAAATGCCATGCCTGCTTGTTTATGAGATTTCAGCTGCACACGTTCAGTCAAGGACACTTGGTTAGGAGTGTCCTGGCTGGCGCCTCTCCTCCCCAGTGTGTCCTCTCCTGGTGGCCTGAAGGGTGGGGGCACCCGTGGCTTTGAGGTAGAAGTGGGAGGCCCAGGGTGCCTGGAGGGACCTGCAAGGGAGGAGCTGGGGATTCAGCCCCCCTCTGCCCTGCCCCATGCCCAGCATTGTGCAGGAGGTCGGGGAGGTACCCAGGGGTTGCAGAAATAAGGAACTCAGAAGGCTGCAGTGCTGCATCTTAGCCACGTGGTGCGAGGGCCTCCGGCTGCCCTGTGGGCCAAGGACTGCAGCCAGCCCTCCCCTGCTTGGGGTGCAACCTATGCAGGCAGGAGGGCTTCAAGGTGAGCAGGGGCAGCAGCCCCTGTGGCTGGTGGCTGGCCCCCCCGGGATGCCAGCACAGTACACCGGCCAGGAGGTGGTCGGTCCTCATCACGGCCACCACCGGATGCAGGTGGCAGGGAGCCCTGTGTGTCCTGTGCTGATGCTCTTAATGCCACTCCATTCTTGCATTTAGGGCAGGATAGTCAAAGCGATGGCATTCTGTTTGTACTTTAAGTAACTCATGATTTCATGTGTTAAAAGCTTCTACCTTTCATCATACATATCAAGTACAAAAAAAGTAAAGTTTTATAATTTAGTCAATGTACCTGTACATAGATAAGATACGTATCATACCTGGACTTGTATGGGGCTACACATACACACCCATGTGTGTATTTCCTCGGTGTTGTCAGCCTTGTTTGGGGCCCTGGAATGCATCTCCATGCTCCTGGGCAGCTGGGGCGCCTGGTGTCCCCTTTAACTTCTTCACATGCTGAGCGCTGTTCATTCATCCCGGATGCCACGCCAGCATGGTCTGTCCCCAGCCCCAGAGAGGAAGCCACACTCCAGTGGCTTCCCACAGGGCACCTGTGAAGTATCCCACAGGCTACACTGCCTTCTGAAACGGAATTCTATCATTAGTACCTGCTGGGATCAGGCCAGTCCAGCCTTACGTCACCTCCTCTTGTTCGAAGGCTGAAGGGGTGACCTGATAGGCCCGCCCACATGTCGCCACCCAGGCTGGGATTTTTCCCTGTGTGTTGGGTCCTGTGCACGTACATGAGTGTACATGCATGAGAGTCGTGCACGTGTGAGTGTGTGCCTCTGCATATGTGTGCACGCAGGGTGTGGAGCTGGAGAAAGGGAGAGGATCCATACTGCGAGAGCAAGCATTCTAAGGGCCTCTGCTGGGCCCCCCAGTCCTGGGCCCCTGCGCCCCCCCCAGGCGCCCTCACCCTTGCTCCAGGGAGCTGGCCGCCCTGGCCCCGGGCTGTGTGTGCAGGGCTGGCCAGGCAGGTGTGGGTCCAAGAATGCCCTGCCCTTCGTTTCCACCCCGGCTGCAGGAGACCCGGAGGAGCCCCTCGCAGAGCTCTCCCCGGGACAGAGGCGGGCCCTCCGCCTCTCCTAGCTGGGCTTTTCTCAGCGTGTCCGAGGAGTCCACGTCGGCCCCTCTCCCGGCCTCTTGTGGGACCTGCACTGGTTAGTCACAGGCCACGCATGTCCTTCACCGCCAGGCAATTTCCTGATTCAGTGACACTGTTTGTCATGCTGTACTTCACAGCTGGGGCCTTTGGAAAGTGGGTTCTGAACCTTGGGACAGCCTGTTTGAACAGTCGCCCTCGGCTGGCTCATGAGTAGTGGTGGGTCAGCTGGCCAAATAGCACGACGGCTGACGGGCCCTGTGCCCCCGGCAGAGCCCCACCTGGGACACGTTCACGCTTCCTGCTGGCCACGTGTGGGCCTCCCTTCTGACCCTCTGTCCCTTCCTCCCACAGGTTGGTGGTCGGGGCCAGCTGTATCCTTTGCTAGTGCACAGGTACCACAGGGCTGTTCTCCCAGTGCTGAGAGCAGGCTCAGTCCTCGAGCCCCTGCCCCACAGTGCTCCCTCTGCCCACGAGTGCACTGTGCCTCCTGGCCAAGAGCTTGGAGGGGCAGGGCAGATGGCTGCACTTGGGGAACACTTTGAGGCTGACCTTTGAGGCTGGGGCTTCCTGGAGTTTCTCCCTGAGCCACGCACTGTGACCACCGAGCCACCAGGCAGCCGGACGCAGCCGTGAGGCTGGCATGCCCCCTCGAGAGCGGCCCCACTCCAGGCCTGTCCTTCAGAGGGAACAGTGGCCGGGGAGGGTCCAGGGAGGAGCCAGAGGAGGAGCCGGAGTCCCGAGAGGGGACATGCGAGGGCAGACAAGAGCGCCGGGGCTGCGGGCCGAGAGCACGGGTCCGAGGCGGCTGCCTCATGTCTTTCACAGGGGATTTCCCCTTCTGTCACTGCTCAGACTCCTTGGGGAGCAGGCCAGGCCCTGAAGTCTGGGATTAAACTCCGGAGAGCCCAGACAAGTGCCCCACAATGCTGCAGCTGAGGGAGCCCCCCACCTCACCTTGGATATGCATCTGGGATAGGCATGGGAGGGTCTCTGTGGTTGCTCTTGGGGGCCTCCTCTGGATGGGCAAGGGGTGTGCTGCTGGCACATGCACTGGGGGCTTCACCCTTTGGTTCCTGGCACCGTGGCCCATCAGCGTTCCTTAGCCCACCGCTGGCAGACGTGGCCCTGGAGTGTGCCGGCTTCCTCACGGGGCTCGGACTGGACACCACCATCATGATGCGCAGCATCCCCCTCCGGGGCTTTGACCAGGTATCCCTGCATTTGCCCCAGGAGGTGCATGTTCTCTCCACCTAGACAGGCGCAGGTGCAGGCCAGGAGGGAGGGCTCCATCCTTGCAAACTGGGCAGGAATTGAATGAGGAGGTTTTTTGTGAAATACAAACACCTGCCTGAGTGCGGAAGCAAGGATTGGCCCATAGAGTGTGTGGTGGATTCCCACCAGACCAAGGGGGAGCCGGTGATCATACTGGGCCAGCCTTATGGACCCAAGGCTTGGTCACCTCTTCTGTTCATCCCATTAATCAGTGGCGGGCATGTCGGCAGAAGTGCTCCTGTCTTTGTTGCTGAGCCCCTCTGGGGTCTGAGGTGGGTGCCACCTCACTAAGGGGGCACCAGGGAGCAGGTGGTAGACTGGCAGGGCCTCATGTGACCACTGAGGAGACAGCAGCCCCTGGCCACAGTGCCAGCGACCTGCTACAGACTGAAAAGACAGGGTGAGCCGGGACAAGCACTGGGCTCCCCCAGAGGGCTGTCCACTCCAAGAGCACAGCCTCGGAGTCTCCTCGAGTCCCACAGCCACTGTGCAGGGGCAGCGCCGGCTCGCAGCAGCTCCTGACCAGGCAGCCAGCCCCAGAGGGCCGCCTCGGGGTCTGCGTCATGTGGGTCGTCCTGATCCACCTGCCAGATGCAGACCCACACAGACAGCGGACGTGCCCACACAGACAGTGGGACATGCACATGCACACGGATGGCAGATGTGTCTACAGGACTAGCACATGGAGTATTTTTATGACCAAAAGCTCTTTGGCAACAGTCCTGTTAACATCTGGGGTTGTCACAGTTGAGGTGGAGACCCTCTGTGCCCCCATGAAGGAGATGGACCACCGTCCAGCTGCATGGCCCCGCAGTCCACCCTCAGCTCCCAGGCCGCATGAGCAGCTCTGTCCTTTGCTGGCGGGACATGTTATTTCGCTCTCTGGCCATTGCACGCTGTCACTTGACTCAGCACCTGAGTACTGACCACCTGCCATGGGGACACAGCGTCCAGGGAAGGCCTCTGAGCCTCGAGCTGTGGGGAGGGTATGTGGGCAGCAGCAGGGGCTCCGAGGAGACCACAAAGTGACATACCGAAGAGGCCCTTGAGGCAGAGGGGCCTGTGGGGAGGAAGGCCACCGGGGACCAGTGGGTAGGGGCACAGTTCTCAGCAAGGGGCCGTGCAGGGGGGTGGGAGGAGGCTGGGCCCGGGCCTGCTGAGGGGTCGCAACATGAGAGAGGCGGGCTGAAGGGCCAGGTCGGTGGGACGAGTTCTTGGCAGGCATTGGTCAGGGGTGATGAGGCATGGGTCTGCTGCCTGGGTAGACTTTGGGTGTTGTTGGCACCCACAGATGGTGGGGCCACCTGGGCAAGAGGGGAGGAGGGCATAGGTGCAGGTGTGCATGGGCGGGGCGCACCGTTGAGGCCCAGTGACCCGGGCCCTGCCTCGGGGACACAGTGTGCGGCTCTGCCAGCAGGCCTGGGGACCGTGGGTCGGCGGTGCAGCCCCAGCAGACCCAGAAGTTCCGCTCGGACTGCGGGAGCCCTCAATGGGAGGAGAGAAGGCAGGCCTGGTGGGAAGCCGAGCACCGTCTGGTTCAGCTGGCAGAGCCCCCGGGTGGGAGTACTTCTCCATCATCGCTTTGGCCGGGGCTGAGTTCATCAGCGTCTAGAGAGGGACCCATCCTGACTGAAGGACCCGGGGACCTCAGGCCTGGAGCCGGGAGGATGCGGGCAGGGATGCCTGGCAGGTTCCCAGCTCAGCTCTTAGCCCCACAGAGAACAAAGGCCCTGGAGATGGGGCACCAAAGCTCCCCTTGGGACAGACTCCCCTCACCATCCCCACACCCACTGGGCTTTTCGGGCAGGCAGGGGCCCGGGGCCTCTTTCCTACCCTTGGCAGCGATGTTCTCACTGCCGCCTGGCCCTCACACGTGGTCCTTGTGCTTTTGCAGCAGATGTCATCTTTGGTCACAGAGCACATGGCAGCTCATGGCACCCGGTTCCTGAGGGGCTGCATCCCCTTGAGAGTGGGGAGGCTCCCGGATGGCCAGCTGCAGGTCACCTGGGAGGACCTCACTGCCAGCAAGGAGAACACAGGCACCTTCGACACTGTGCTGTGGGCCGTAGGTAAGGGTGCGCAGCTCTGCACGTGTGACCCCCACACCTCCACTCACAGACTGGCAGTGCCACCCCCCTTTCCCCTGCCCCCAGGAGCCTCCCTCATCCCTCATCCCCCTGGCTGGCCGGCCGCCACACAGCACGCCTCTGGGCTGTTGTAGAGGCCCGTGGTGTTTCTTCCAGTGCGTCCGGTGGGTTGCTTTGAGCTCTGCGGGTCATCACGCGCCAGGAGTGGGCCTTGTACAGGCCTTCCCAGAAGTCGCACTTCTCAGATTCCTAAAGACAGAGCCCAGTGATACGTCAGAGTCCTCGGGCTTCTCCCATCCAGGCCCGGAGTTGCAACTGTGGCAGGGGAGGCCCATGCCCAGCGCCTGGGGTGGTCTGACGGAGGTGAAACGGGCTGTGAGGAAAGGTACCCTGGCCAGGAGCCATACCCTGCCATGAGCCCGCTTGCAGCTGGGGCGGGGTGGCGCTGGGGGCTCTGCAGAGGGCCGGCAGGTTGTTGTCAGGCTGTGTGGAGCCCCAGCTCCCACAACTGCTCCGACACCCCACCTCTCTGATGCTGTGGCTCCCAGGGCAAGACTCGCCCTCCTAACCGCCCTGTCAGCTGTGCCCTGAAAGCAGGGTGGCCAAGGTCTTGGTCTCTCCTGGTGTGCCCCATTCTCTTGATGGGGAGGCTCCCTGCACTGAGCCTGGTCGGTGGCCCCTCCTTTGTGAGCCTGGGCCCAGAATCCACGTGGCTCCCAGAATCATCACCTGGCCCAGTGTCAGCCGACTGCATGCCTACCCAGGGCTCAGAGGACTGTCCCGTCAGCATTTGTCAGGACCCTGGTCGCAGGGTTTCAGCATCCCCTGGGGGGGTCTTCCTGGAGGCGCAGGGCCGCGTCCTTCTGAAAGCCTGTTTGTTTTTGCTGAGTTGCCTGCTCTGAGCGGTGGGAGATCAGACGATGCCGTACACCCCAGAGGAGGAGGAGGTCTTTACTTGCCGTCTGTAGACACGAGCTGACTGAGGAATAAGATCTCAAATGCCCTGCAGTGAGCTTAGTGCCTCCTGACCAAAATTCGGTGGATTCCAAATGAAATGCTCTTACTCAAATTGTAAAAGTGCATTTTAGGTAGGTTTGTTTTGACAAACATTATGAAAGATTATATGACTGTTCAGATGCAGAAGAAACTGACGTTTATCTTAGGCTCTGTTCTAGACAGGGTGGTGGCAGTTTCTCCCCTCCCTTCCACACCCCCGTCCCTCCTCTTTTGTCCCCTGACGTCTCGGCAGGGCCCAAGAGCACACACGTCCCTTCTCTTGCGTTTGGACTAGGCATACCCCTAAGCCCCTGACTGAGCCGCACTGACGGCAGGGGCCGTGCCCTTGGGGAGCTTCAGGGACCCCCAGCTTCTAAGTGGGGCCCTGGTTGGCGACAAGCAAGCCCGTTGGTGTCGTGCCCACCCTCCCCCACCAGGAGTCCGTTTTAGTTTTTGTATTTTCAAAAAGAGCATGCCCTAGACACTCTGCCCTGCGTGATTGATGCTGGGGGCGGAAGCTTTTCACAGTCCTTGGCCTTTGACCTCGCTTCCCGGAGGCTGCTGCTGCGGCAGCGTTGTTCCTGGCCCGCCTTCTGGGGCTGCGTGGGCCTGTGCTCGTTTTGCTGTGGGTCCTGGGCCAGGTTTTGTGAACAGTCAAGAGCCACTTCCCAGTTTAACAACTGGGAGTGTTTTCTGCCAGTTTAGCCCAATAAGCCTTTAACAAGCATCATTTCTCCATGCCATAAAGGGCTATCCAGTCTGGGAGGTTAGAGTCAAAAGCTCTGGGGACTGCGCGGCTGGTATGGCAGGCAGCTCCCGGCCACAGTCCTGCCCTAGCAGCAAGGCTGTGTGCGTATAAGCTGAGCTTTGACGTGTGTCGGACACGCCCTGTGGGCACATGCTGAGGCCGCAGGAAGCACCCGTGAGACTGAGTGCCTGGCCGTCATGGCCGCCCACGTGCCCACGCCTTGACCTCGGCCAAGGACAGGGGGCACAGGGCTGGCAGCGGAGGTCGGCCTTGCAGTCTGGAAGCCAAGGACTCAGCCTCTTCCTCAGCCCTGCCTTGATCTCCACGTGGTGGATTAAACACATTAGCAGTTAAAGCAGTTAATTGCTGTGCAGGAGGCCAGCTCATTGTTTGTCTGGAATCACCCGCCCACACCAGGTGTCTCAGATAATAGGCTGGGAGCTTGCAGTGCAGAGGATTTCCTGTCTGCAGATGTGCAGATCGCCCCGCTGAGTGAAGACAGTCAGCCTGCGCCCCGCGGGCTCCAGCTCACTGTGCAGTTAACCAGTTGTGGCCCGAATCCCCAGCTGCCTGGGGGAGCAGAGCAGAGTGGGCATCTGAGGGGCACCTCCCAGTGCAAAGGCTTCGAACCTGGAGCTCAGCTTAGTTGAACTTAGGTTTTGTTTTAAAAGATGGACAGAGGGCCTCTGGGTCTTGGGAAAACCAGAAGCTAAAGTGTCGCTTGCCTCAGCATCTCCGGCTGAAGGCTCTCCGTCTGTTTCTCCCGGGCAGGAGGGGGCTCTGGGGCATCTGTCCCTGGGCCTCTGAGTCCTGCCTGTGCTTAGAGGGGCCCCAGCAGCCCTTGCTCCTGTCTTCCAGGGTGCCAAGAGGGCTGGCTTGGCCTGGCCTTGGGAGCCCCTTTGGTCCGGCAGGCAAGTCACGGAAAATGAGCCATGTCCTCTCCTTTGGGCCTTGTCTTAGCGCAAGAGCTGGTGTCGTCCACATGTGTGCAAAACCCATGGTTAGATTATTTCTGAGCCTCTGAAACAGTGTGAAGGGAGCCGGTGAGCCCTGGAACCCTGAAGGCCTGGCTGGCTACACAGTGTGTGTGCACGGACCCCGGCCAGGGCCAAGGCACCCAGGTAGGGGGGCGTCCGGCCCTGGTGGGCTGTGGTCTGGGGCCTGCCCCCCACCTCAGGGACCACTCGCCCTGTCGAGGTGGTGCCCATCCTTGCTCAGGAGGCAACACAGAACTAACCCCTGAGGCTGGGCATTCACGGGTGGGGATACTTCAGTCCCCGTGAGAAGGACAAGGCAGTCAGGCCCAGCGTGTCCTGCGGATCGTGAGAGGCCCGGCCCTCGCTGGCTGGAGTTTGGAGGCTGGGGAGGAGCTGGCCGGTGAATGCGGAAGCAGCCCGGTCGGGAGGGGCCCTGGGCCAAGGCCTCTAGGCCTGTCCTTCAGAACTGCATTTTGCAGTGGCTACAGGGACCTGTGTGTGGCTGCATTCTTCCCAGTGGGGACTCTGCAGGGCCAGATTGCGATGGGTGTCCGTGTAGACAGCTCACCCGGCACCAGCCTTTCTTTGCTTGCGAGGTGGAGCAGCTGGCCTTAGAGGGGCGCTGGTCCGCCCTGAGCCCCTGCTAGTCTGAGGCCTTTTTATTTTAGTGTTAATATTGTAAAGGCTGCAGTTACTGACTTCAGAAGAGACCCAGATCTGCCTGTGTGTGTAGTTTGTCTTTTCAGAGGGGAGGAAGACACGGATTTAAGGAGCTCTTCCTGTAGTCACCTCCCACGGCCCCAAGGAGGCCACGGGTGGGGCCACAGCCTTCCCTTCCCCGTGGCCCCCACACAGCACTGCCCTCCTGAAGCAGCGCCATTGGCTCGGTGACCACCGTTGCCCACAGCCCTGCTCGTAGCATCTGTGTGCACAGACTGGCTGACTGCCCTGGGCTTGGGGTGCCCCACGCAGCCAGGGGCCGAGGGCTACGCCAGGCCAGTGAGCCAGCGCCCCCCCCCCATGTCCAGGGCGCTGCGGCTCCTACTGCCACCAGACTGCAGGCTCATGGGTGTCGACTGGGGTCTTCTTACCAAGTCCAGTTCCATATTTATGTTTAGAATTCAGTGGAACCACTTTCTAAAAAGAAGAAAACACCTTAGTGGCAATGCATCTTAGAGATGAGTGGGCACCGTTCAGGCATAGTCATGTGCACCGTCTAAGTTCTGTCAGTGCCGCTGGAGCAGATAACCAGCAGGAAAGCTATGTCGATGATTGTTGAATGATCACCACCTGCCAAGGGGCATGTTCCCTCCTGGGGGCTCCCGTGTGCAGCTGGGTCTGAGCTGGAGGCCCCACCAAGCTCGAGGACTGACTGCTGGGGTTTTAGGAGCCAACAAGAGCTTATATCCTGTGCCGTCACGTGATTGCACACAGGCTTGAATAGGAAAGGCCCATGGGCGCCCTGGGCTAAGCTCTCCCAGTTGTCCAAGAAGGTTCACACACATAGAAATGGTCATCAGGACTACATGGATGGCAGAGTGGGTGCTGGTGGTCACAGAGAGCACCCAGCCTTAGGTCACACTGGGGTACAGGGGCTCACTCATTCATTGAACAAACACTGGACCTGCCTGGGACCCGAGGCCAGCAGGACAGGTGCTCTCCTCTGCCCTAGGGGGCTCAAAGCCATGGATAGGGGCTTGGGGCTCATTTGGGGTGAGGGGCATCCAAGAGAATTAAAGAGGCTCTCCGCTGTTACCTCTTCCTCTCGAGTCTCAGAGTTGACAAGAGGTGCAATAAACTTCTGAAAAAGCGGGGCTCCAGGGACCTGACTGGAGGTGCCAAGGATGTGAGTCGGCCTCCGCCTGGCCCAAGGCTCAGGGCAGGCCTGGCCTGGCTGGCTCTGGAGGCCTACATACCCCTCAGGGGGGTCACCTGGGGAGGGTCCTCCACTAGCCTGCGCGGGACGCTGGTGCTGGGCCCTCGCCTCCGCCGCCCGTGCAGCCTCCAGGCCCCGGGCCTCCTGGCACTGGGCTTCCGGCTACCTCCTTCACACCCTCGCTGCGTCCATCCGATCCCAGCCCGTCATTCTCCCTGCCATACTCCTGCTGGCACTTAAATCTTACCTCGTTACATGGATCGCCCTTCACTCATCGGAACGTGTGCTCCAAGCAGGCGTGAAATTGGAGGGAAGGCCCGTTTTCCCGTACAGGAGGGAAGGGGCATGTGAAACGGCATGTGTCCCAGCGTCTGCATTCCTTTGCCCAGCAGAGCAGGTAGTGGTGACCTCCGGCCGCCGTCGCAGGGGGGCTTTCAGCCTTCAGCCTTCAGCCTTCTGGGGCCCGCTCCAGCTGGCCGGGTGACGTGGTGGCCGGGATTCCAGTGGATCCCAGTGGGGCAGAGGGGGGCAGGCCCGCTCCAGCTGTGCAGAGAGCTCTTGGGCGGAATGCTGTCAGCCACCACCGCAGGGCCCAGGGGTGTCCAGGATGGGGGGCACTGAGAGAGGGGGTGCTTCTGGCCGGCAGACAGGGCTGGGCCTGCTGAGGGCTGCGCTCCGTGGCAGTGGTGCTGTGGGCCCATCCACATGTCTACGTAAATGTTGGCTAGTGAGGAAGTAACACGCTTGCACCTGGAGGTTTACTGCCCTCGTTTGTGGGGAATATGTCAGCATCATACATGTATGACACGAGAAGCTCTTACAGGGCAGGAAAGTTGCAAAGATGTGTAAATGAATGAAAAAAAACAGGAATTGGCAATTCACAAGAGGAAATAGACAAATAAACCTGTAGACAAAAAATACTTAATTTTATTGGTGATGAAAGTGAAAATTTAAATAGCAGCAACAGAGATGGCTGAGCCCCTTCTTCCCCCAAGAAGGAGCAGAGCCTGAGAGGAGCCACCCACGGGGGTGTGGCCCCCGCCCCACACTGTGACCCACCTGCCCGCCTGGCCCTCCTTCGAGGATCGGCCCCAGGGAACTAACAGGCCCCTGGACAAACTGCCATCTCCATCCCATCAGGTGCCCAGGGAGCAGAGATGTGGGAGCCACAGGAAGTCCTGCCCTGGGGGAGGCGTTGTACCAGCACTTGGCAGACGCCAGGCTGGGTGCTGAGGAGCCCGAGGTGCCGGGCCGTGGGATGGGCGGCCTGCGGCGCTGCGGCTGGGAAAGCCTGTGTGTGACACGGGGGACACGGTGGGGGCTCTCCTCTTCCCGCCAATCACCTGAGGAGCGCTGCCTTTATCTTTGCATAAAGTGAGAGGAGAGTGGGCAGGGCTGCGGCTGGGCAGTGCACCAGTGGGCTTCTGACTGTTGAAGTCCAACCTGGGCCTGAGCTGCCCTGCTTGCGTGGCCAGCCCCTGGGTCCCCTCTGTGGCCCCTGTTTCCCATCTTCCTCTGGGGCCCCAGGCCTGAGCTGAGCGGGCCCCAGACATGTGCTCTGAGCCCAAGGGTCCAGAACCTCAGACATGCGTGGGGTGTGTCCCCCTCCTCCGTGACCGCTGCCTGCTTGGTTTGGTCAGTGAGACGCATGGTGGGGGCTTGGGCCCCACACCCTGGCTATGGCCTGTGGGACTGGCAGGGCCTACCACAGTTCTGGGCTGTGGCCCCCGGTATGGGGCACCTGGGTGGAGCCGGGCCCCCTGCGCACCCAAGCCTCACCTCTCACAGGCGCCCCGGCAGTTCCCGGGCCTGAGTCCGTGCGCCTGCGGCTGCCCTTCTTGGGCTGCCTCTGATGGTCTGGTGTGCGCTCCCTCTCCCTCCGCTGTTGGCTCCGGAAGCACCGGTGGAGCGTGCGCTGTGTGCCAGGCACGCTCTGTGCTGTGCTGTGTGCCTCCCCCCGCCCCAGCCAGCCCACCCGGCCACCCACTCCTCCCTCCGCCAGTGGCCGACTCACACTCCCATGGACTTCCGGGCTCCTGTACGTACCGTGTCCTAGAAGTCCCTGGCTTCGGAATGGACTGGAGGCCGCCTGGTTCATGCATGTGTTATCGACTCTGGGACCTTGGCTGTGGTTTGGCTGCATGTACAGGATGTAGTTACACGGTCACACGAGGCGCACAAGAACACACTCCTGGCCTGCGGTGGTCGTCATGGTCGGGCAGGAGTGCACGGGACAGCCGTGCGGCACGGCTGATGTCAGAGCAGAGGGGTCTGCAAGCCTCCCGCTTTGCCCTCAGACACTCCAGCCCAGCCCGGAGCGACTGCCAGGAGGCGGTGGGCCTGGTGAGCCGTGCTTCTCAGAACCAGGGGCTCGAGCCCTGAGACCCCTGCCTGCAGGGACCTGCAGCCTAGGCAGCCGGCCCCCCCCCCCAGTCTGCCCACTGCGCCAGCTCCCTCCTCACCGAGGCTTGGCTCCTTCCAGTCCCCTCACAGGTACACGGGCGCTCCTGGTACCTGCTGGGTGCAGACATCCGGTGCCCCACCCAGCAGTCAGGCCTGGGTCCGGGGCAGGATGGTGGCCAGGCTGGCAGGTCTCTGCACGCTCACAGGTCTGCACATGTATGGCCGTAGTTCCGACCCTGCTACCATCAGAAGGCGGAGCCCTCCGGGGCGTCATGTTGCCAGTGTCTGTCTGGCAGGCGGTGAGTGCCGTCCTGCCCAGCACTGATTCCTATGGCCAGTGAGAGGGAAGAGGTGGAGCTGGCTCCCCGTGAGCTTGAGAACATGGCTTAGCTGAGGCCCCGTGTTCTGACCTCCTACTCTGGGAGAGCAGCTGGGGACTTAAGGCTTCCCTCTCACAGGGCTCAGCCCTCCAGATGCCCAGCTGGGCACCACCCGCTGCCCGACCTCTTGTGGAGTCTGAGCCACCTCCGGCTGTGGGAACTGTGCCTTCGACACCACCCATCTTTGCCATCGGGGGTCCACCCCGAGCCTCTTAGAGCCCCTGGACAGGCACAGTTGCCTACAGACTGGGAGTGGGCTGTCCTCCAGGTACTGCACAGAGGGGCAGGCTGACCCAGAGCAGGCAGGAGAAGGCACAAACTCGTGCCCTGCTCACGTCTCAGGGCAGGCCCACGATCCCTTCTTTGGGCAGCAGGCGCAGGCAGTGGTGAGGCCACGTCTGAAGTAGGAGAGAAAGGGCCTTTGCTGGCAGCTTGGCTTTGGCAAGGCCAAGGGCAAGCGTACAGAGGCTGGAAGGGGGTGGCTGTGCCCACATCTCCGGGGCAGCCACCCCCTGCCCTCCTGGCCTCTGTACCCGAGAGCAGGATCAGCTGAGCTGGTGCCACTCAGGTCCTGCCCTGGCCCGGTTCCTTGCTCAGTCCTGAGACTCAAAGCTGGGGCTGCCTGCTGGGCAGGCACCACGGGCATGCGGGAGCCGAGGACCTGAGGGGCACGGAGCTGCCAGGGCCTGGCCTCAGGCGCCCCTCGCTCAGTGCCTGCTGTGGGTCAGCCTGCCCTTCCGTGCAGCACCCAGAGGACAGCCCCCTCCCAGGCTGCGGGGACACCAGGCCACAGCTGCTCCGGGCAAACGCAGTCTGGTGGCGGGACACAGGCAGGGGGCGTGTCCTGGAGCCTGCACAGTGTGGTGGTGGGGGACCCCGGGCTCACCAAAAGAGCGGGTGGGAGGGTGCCCCCCCAAGAAGGGCCCACATGGACACTCACAAGGCCATCAGCTCACCTGGGGGCCAGCAGGTGGACTCCACAGAGACTAAGAGCACCCCCGCAGGGAAATAACCTGCCCAGGATGGGAGCCGGGCTTCTGGGAGAGGCCCAGGCTGTGCACAGTCTGATTCGTCCCCTCAGGGCCTGGCGCCTGTAGAGGCCGTGTGGCCCTGTCCCCTGTGCCTAGCAGCTCTTTGCTTGCACCGTGTGGCGTCCACAAGGCGCTGAGGCCTGTGGCGGGCTGGCCCCTCAAGGCCTGGCCCTTGCAGTGAGGCAGGGCTTGGGGACCACGGCTGGGGGCTGGGGTGTGCCTCACTTTTGAGGTATTGCTGCTTCTAAATCTTTTCTGTGGCCAGAGCCAGATTTCTGGTACTGAAAAAAATTATGAATTTCTAAATTCAAATTTGACATTACAGGGTTTTAACTATTTTCTTTGAATGTACAGAAGATCTGTTTGAGGCTTTATTTATTGTTAGGATATAATCCTCTTAGGATGTATGGTTAAAACACAGCTTCTTACAGTCTCTTGAACGAATTATCTCTCTGTGTGCTCTGCACCAACGTCGTGTCACAATTAGGCCCTTCATTTCAGGTTGTTTATATAGGTCATGAGAAATTTTTCTCTCTTTGATTTAATTTTTGTTGTTTGAATATGTAAATTACATGTATGATATAAAAGAGTTCAATTGCAGGGTGTGTTTAGGGAGTCTCGTTCCCACCTCTGTCCCTGTCACCCTGTCTCCCCCCTTTCTGTAGCTCGCAGTTTCAGCTCACCTGGTTGCATCCTTTCATTGATTCTTTGTGCAAATACAGATTGTGTGTGTGTGTGTGTGTGTGTGTGTGTGT